GAAGCACCTGCAAAGAAATGATCAGGCTGTGGGCTATGGAAATGTGGAAATCCTTTGTGTTCTAAGCACAGAGATGCTGCCATTAGCTTCAGAGAGGCAAAGCTGCAGAGAAGGGAAGGGCATAGGGAGATATAATGAAAATCTAGTTGGAAAAACAAACTAAACTTCCTGTTGAGAGTACAGCTTATGTCTTTATTTCTCATTTTTTGAGGCAGCACTGTGCTGTGCTGTCCTAGGCAGGGCTGGGATGTTACTCTGAATATACCAGAGGAAGTTTTAGGGAACAGTCTCTGCTGTCAGAGGAGTGCACTAAGATGAAGTGGTATCTTTTCTTCTTTCACTGATGGTTTTCTGAAAATGGTTTCATGTTATTGGATGACAGAAAAAAGGCAAGCAAGTGTAATATCTCATGAGGATAACCTGGAGATGATTCTGGCTAAATTTCTAAAGAGTGCCTAATTGCCTTTAGGTTTTCTAATTCTATCCTCTTGGAAAATAATCACAATTGGGTTGATAAAAGTTACTTATTTTGGAAAGAGTGCAATCCCCTTTTAGCTGTTCCTGATAGCCCAGAGATACATGGATGCCTGGAGAGTTCAGGGGGAAAACCTCCCTTGCAAATACAAAGGAGTGCTCATAATTTTAATGATTTCTCTGATGTTTTGTCTGTTGCAGGAAATTAACAGAGGGTGATTAGAGTTCTTGTAAATACTGAGGCAAAACTTACAGCCCCTGTCTTAATTTACAGGTCCACATTTGCCATCAGTACATTCTTCACTCTGAGGTTCTTTTTTCCATTTGAGAAAATAAGAGGAGATTTAGCTGAGGAAATTGTTGTTATTGTTGCTGTTGTTATTATTATTGTCTTTTGTTGGTATTGAATTTTGAGGAATGATGTGCTACAGTTTTTTGTTCACTGCCAAGGGATGATCTTCAGGATCTATTGTTTATCTCTGAATTTACAATATTTACCATTATTATATTTCTAAAAACAAAATCTCCAGCAGCTTAGAGGTAAAAGATATTTCTTACTTTTCTTTAATAGGTATACACTTTATTTGACAGGAATTATGATCCCTAAGGGTCTATTAAATAAACAGTTTGAAGACAAAGGACAGGTTGCACAGCTTTATTTTCACTTGTACATAATCTTTTTTTGCCTTAATTCAGTTTATGCCTGTGAGTTCAGAGATCTTAATTCAAAAAGGTACTTGGCTGCATTTCTAGCTTTAGGCAGAGTAATGGTTTTGTTGTCTTTACTGGGACAATTCACGTGTTTCAAGTTGAGTGCATGAAGAGAGAACAGGCTGAAAGAAGAGGATTATCTTGACCTTTGTACAGGAGCTCTACAGAATTTATAAGAGGAAAATCTGTTTGCCCAAATGAATTTTGTTTAGGGGAGTTCAACAGTTTCTGCATCCACAAGTGACATCCTGACAGGTGTTCATGTAGCCATTAAGTCCACCCAAATCCAAATGTATTCTCTCAGAAGCTGCAGCAATAAAAGTAATTTTTTTTTCCTACAGGTCCTATATGTACTTAATCACTAGAATATTGTTTCTGTCTTGCTTAATGACTCATTTGTTGAAACAGATTCCAACCTGTTTTATGCTGAAATTATTTTCCAGGAAAAACCTGGTATACCAGAACCTCCCTACAGAACCTGAAACGCAGAGCCCTGACCCAAGCCACAAAAGAACAAGAAGCACAGGGAGCAGGAGCTCTCAGGAGCCACAGCTGAAAAAGCCTGAATCAGCAGGCAAAACAGAACAGTAAATTGAAGAGTTCTGTGGGAAATTATAACCTGAAATGAAAAACAAATCTGTGACCAGCAGAGAAAACGGAAACAGAGATTGGAAGTGTAGAAAAAGTGCTTCATGCTTCTAGACAGTGAAATTGATGTTCCACTTGGGACAGAAGAATATCACTTGTATCCAGCTGGGACAGCAGCTATTGGATATGACACGTGGCACTTCTGGCTGAAGGGAAAGTGCTGAAAGGAAAAAATACTGACTAGTAAATTATTGGAAAGTGCAAAGAAAGCCCATGGGAAAAGTGCCAAAGAATTGAAAAACAATGCAGGATGAGGTAACAGAGACATGCCTGAAAACCTCGTGGTTGAACTGGAAGCTTCTACTATGCTGGAAAGTCACAGAAGCTTAAAAAAATTATAAACATCAGGAAAATCACTGAACTCAAAAGGGAGCCATGAAAAGCAAGAAGAGATCTCATTACCAAGGAAAAACCAAAAAAGAGCTTGGTGGTGTATTTGAAAGAGGTGTGACCAGACTCAGCTTCCCGCATTTCAAAGGAACTGGGCAACCTGAACCTTCTTCTGCCCTTTTTTTTTTTTTTTGTGTGTGTTAAGAAAGCAAGCAAAAGCACAGGGTGCATCCATCATGCTGAAAAACATAAAGCCAGCACAGTATGACAGGACAAAAGCTTCAAGAAATGGGGAGGAAGTAAGTAAATGTCTGTGAAGAAGTGATTTAGCCTCCAGAATGGAGTCAACAATTTGATGTCTGTGACAAAGGTCCCACACACTGGAGAGGTGTCCTTGCTGTGTCCTGGGGACAGGGATACTGCAGCAGCTAAAAGATGCTGTGACTGATGGATTTGAAGGAAGACAAGCTGAATTTTTAGAGACTGGCTGTTCATGTTGCTGATTACCATGGAGTGATTGTTCTCCAGGAAAGCCATCTTCTTTTGCCATTGAATAATTGACTTTTGCCATTGAATAATTGACTTTTGCCATTGAATTATTGACTGTCCAGAGTCACCACGTACCATGAAGAGATTTAGGTGGTAGGGCACGTGTGAGATCTTGCAAAGTCCCCAGGAGAAACATCAGGAACAGGCACAAAGTGCTCAGTGAGGGCCAGCAATGGCCCAGGTGCCAGGAGGATGCTCAGGATCATTTCTCTGCTGCTGTTTTCCTCTGGCATGGACTGACTCTGGACTCAGGGTCCAGGCATTAGTGCACACTCTGTACTTGCCATGGTATCAAGGGACAGGGCACTGGGTTATTGTGAGGTGGCTCTGAAAAGCCATTCCTCTTCTCCTGGAAGAAATAACTGTCCTGGCAAGGGTAGGGTGAGCTTAGCCCCACATCAATTAACTTTAATCCATTCTCGTTGGAACACAGATGTCATGGTGATGCAAAATCCTGACAATTTGGAGGAACCTTCCTTTTTCTAGGAAACTATGAGGAGAAGGTGAGATAATGGTGTATATTCATACCATGAGTTAGCATGGCATAGAGAAATAGGAAATAATGCAAAGTCAATGACAACCCTGGGTTGCTGTGCAGCTTTTTAGAGCTGGAGACATCTCAAAAGTGTAAAGAGAAATGTGGGTGTTTTTTCAAGATGAGTAGTTGGCACAGGATGATAAAAGTTACCTTGTGGCAAAATTGTGCTGAAAAATCCTCAAGCAGCAATCAGTCATTGCTGGTGTCAGGGAAGTGCAGGGGCTTTGTGAAGTGGGTACTCCATGCTGGCATTTTTCAGCCAGTTTTAGATCATAACCTCCTTTCTGGTGTGTATGATCTACGTGTTTACATGGAATTTTATTCACCCACCTGGGCGAACACATGGTCAACCTCTCATTAAAGGAAGCCTTCAGTGGTTGTGTTTTATTTCAAAATGATAAAGTGAGCATTGATTCAGTCAGTCCCCTCAGCTGTTGTGCAGGGGTGTGGGTGCAGACAGGTGTGTCCTTGCACCACTGTGGGTGGGTGTATAAGGAATGCATGTGGCACCCCCAGCTTTCCAAATATTCCCCATCCTGCCAGCTGGGTCTGAGGGAGGGGCTGTGCACGAGCACAAACCCCATTTCAGTGGGGAACGTGGTAGGGGAGACTGGAGCAGAGGGGGAATCTCATGGAGCTTGCTCTGCAGCCCCCAGGCATGGAGGCCAGCCCAGTGCAGCCCCTTGCCCAGCTCTGCCTCATCCCCACAGGCTGAGGGGAGCCAGGGCAAACATCAGGCTGGAGGTGACAACTTCTGCCCCTCATCACACTATGGAAAAGCTCCCTCTTGCTGTACCCTCAGCTGTGAGAGCTCATGCTCTAAATGCCAGCACATTTGTAATAATCTAAATCGTGTGACAAAAACCAGTTATGGAGAGAGCAAAATTCTCCAGGAAAATATTTAAGAAGATGCCTTAATGGACAGAAAGGTATAGCTGACCTCAAGAGCAGTGTGCTAATAAAAGCAGAAGTAAATGGCAAAGTGAAAATATTTTTCCTTTTGTGCACTGGTGGGAGGATGGGTGGTGAGTGTTCACAAGAGTAATGAATGATGGGCAGACCTTGAGGGTGATGTTCCTTTAAGAAAGTGACTTCATCTCTGATGTAAACTACCTGCAGAGGTATGTAAACATTTTCACTGGCTGGAAAAGTGTATATTCAAGAGATTTGTAATCCCTTAAAACCCCAAAGGCATAATGGAATGGGAATGTGCTCTGTTTCATGTCAGGTTTACACCAGGAGCTTCAGTTTTTCATGTCTGAAATCAGAGAGATCAGCACCACGTTGTCTTAGAAAACCAGCTACATCATGTTAGCTGGGTCTGTGGAACGTAGCCTTGTCTCTCAAATCAATCACCAGGGATTTTTAAGCAGGGTTAAATATGCATGGCTAATTTTTATCTCAATCCCTTTGGCTGGCTAGCTTTTAATTTTTTTTTAATTGTTTAAATAACTTCCAGAACACAGCACAGTAGGTATTAAATCTCTTTAATGTATTTAATTGATTACTTTTCCCCCCCCACACAACTTGCTGTGGCTATCAAGCCAGTGATTCCTGCCAAAACCAAAGTGAATGTCATCACTGGAGGTTAGCTGAAGACTCAGTCTCAGGTGTGCTCCCTTTGTTCACCTGACAAAGTGTCCCTCATGGCAAACCAGCAATCACCTGCTCCCAGCACCCCCTGAATGCCAATTTAGTGTAGATATTTGCTAGTGTGGAGTAGGTCAATAGGTAAAGGTGGGCACTAAAGCAGAGAAGGTAATTTGGGGCTTTTTGTTGAAAGAGGAGGGTTATCCATTTGTGATAAAGCCCAAGACAGTTTGTGTTCTAGGGATTAAATAACCCTGGCCTGACTCATTTTTGTCACTGCCCATCAAAAACCAGTTCCACTGAAACTACACCCTAAGTTTTTTAAGCAGGAAAGCCCAACTATTCCTTGTAAAAGAAACTGCTCCTTTTCTCACTGTCTAGGAAAGTGTACTTTAAAGATATATATATAAAAAACCAGCAGTTAATCTTTTCCTGGAGCCAGTGCTTGCTACATCATGTCCATTCCTGGTGCTGTCAATCATTATCCAGCCAGCACATTGTTCAGAAGGTGGAGCTGTCAGGCAGAAAGAATGAAAGGTAAGGAGAGGAAGGCTCCTGCTCCTTTGCTGATGCCAAGGGTAAGTGAGATTATGTCAAACCTTTAAAGAGAGTCCCCTTTCTCTGCCCCACCCCCTGCTCCTATATAACACACACTGCATTTAGCAATACCTGCTTCCACCCAGCCAGCCGTGGGGTGAGTGCTGGCTGCTCCCTCCTGCTGATGGATGCTGCAGCCAGCAGCCCCCTTGGGTGGCTCTGTGCGGCTGTCACCGCGCTTTTTGGGGTCACCATGGCCCAGAGGAGCCTGCTGGACAGAGCAAAGGTGCTGCTGTGCAGCCTCCTGCCTGCCTTGCTGTGCGTGGCCACGCTGGGGGCTGGCGAGGGGCTGGGGGTGTTTGTGGCCATGTGCCTGCTCTGCTCCGTGTGCCTGGGGGACAGGGACCTGCTGCCCGTGGGTGACAGAGCTGTGCTCATCACAGGTAAGGTGCTGCCAGGGCACAGACATGAACAAAACCTGCCTTTTTTCACAAGTGGGCTGGAAAACTTCTTGTCCTCGGGTTAGTGCATGCTTTGTGAGAGTTCCTTTTATCCTTTGCTTTTTCTGCTTGTTGTATTTGCTTTGGCAGGGATGGTTTTTTCCAGGTAAATAAGTGCTCTGAAATTAAGTAGAAAAGCATCTTAATAGATGCTATTATTTTTTTAGTGTCTCATTTAATCTTTACAAGTAGCTTTTTAGACATACTTGTGAAATTAACTGGTGCAAGAAGCACAAGAATACTTATGATGGTCTAATTTTTTAGGAGAGACATTAATTCCCGGGAGCCCTCAGAACACTAAATTCATTCATTGTTTTTGTTTACTTGAATTAATTGTGCTGGTTATGGATGTACAGTTGTCTTCTGGGTGTGTGTGTACATACTGCACATTGTGTCTATCATGCACATATTTCAAGACTGTGGTTTGGTGCCATCTCCTTGAAACCCTCTGTGAAATCATTTAGGAGGGAGTAATTCACCAGCAGAGAAAGTTCAGAGCTAATTAATTCAGTCTCTATTACCACTCGGATCTACTCAAAACCCACTTTTATTTTGCAGGGATGGCATTTTTGTAGTTTTATAGCTTTTCTCCTGTTTCCTCTAAAACTTTAGGTGTTGTTTATTTAGATGTTGCTTATTTGTGTTAATCAAACCTTTAAACTGGAGTGCCTGCTGACTGCTCTTTGCATTTTTAATTTGCTGGGTTTTGTTTTATTTTCTGTGTTTTTCCCCCCTCTGGAATGCTGCATTAACTTGCTTTGGTTTATATATAGCAATTTCTAGCAGAATTTCATTTTGTTTTATAGGGACACCTGGAAATAATTTAGATTTGCCTAGCAAGCTTTAATGCAGGGATTAAATATAAAAGTTGAGAGAGGACAAGATCAGCAGCAAGTGCTCCCCTTGCAGTTTATCTGCCAGCTGGTTTCTCCCTGCAGGTGTGTCAGATGAGGATGGATATTGGTGTGGGCAGTGGGGAGCAATCCTTTCCCATGCCTGCAGGCTCAGGGGATGTGCTTGCACTTGGGCATCTCCTTGCTCTTTGTAAGACTGCAAATCTTCAGGAAAAAGCACTCTCTGGGAGCTTATTTGCTCTGGAGTCTGAATTAAACAATATAAGGGAGTTAGGAACATTTGGGTACAGTCCAGTAAGGGAATGTTCTTTCTTTGCACCTGTGCCGCAACTGTCCTGGAGAAATGCAAGTTTGGGCATCTCTGACAGCTGATTCATTGGAGGAGACTCTTCTTTGTCTTTATTGGAGTCCTGTGCAATCCATCAAACCCTCCATCAACTGAATCAGAAGTTTTACTCAACCTGTATTTTGGTTAAATTGCTCTGATGGTGGTGTTTTTTTCCCCAACCAACTACAAGATGTGTCTCTGTTCATTTGCAGGTGCAAGGTGTCTTTAAGTAGATTTTGGTGTCATTTTCTCCAGTTTAGACAAGACCTCAGGCAGGTGCTTGATGGAAAGTGGTGATTTTAATTATTATTTTAAATTATTTTTTTCTTTTTCCCTCCCTCCTTTCAGCCCCACAGGGCTGCAGAATGTGCCTGTGTCCTGAGCAGCTGCCAGGTATTCTTGAGAGCCTTTGGCCAGAGGCTGGAGCAAGCTCTGCTGCTCTCCCTGGATCCTGTCGTGTGTTGTTCTGGTCCTCTTTGGATGGTCCTTGTACCACTGCTGCTCTGCATTATTTATTTAAGCCAGCAGTTCACTGGAGTACCAGGATAAGGGAAAAAATGTGCCCAGTGCTCCAAATACTTCTTCACATGGATGACTGTGGGCAGTCAGGCTCAAACCATTGCTCAAGCTGCTGTGGATCCTCTTGCTGGGAGCAGGAGCTCCAATGTCCTTAAACAGAAGCTCCTGGCATGCAAACACTTTAGTGGTAAATGCAACAGCCACCTTCCCTAAAAATTAAATTATTACCAAGATCTGAAGTAACAGGAGTTGTGAAATTCTGTCCCTGGTTAGTCTGTGTGCATTGGGATGAATTTCTCCGGTTAATTTGGTCTTTCCATTCTTGGGGTGTGATTTGGTGCATGTTCAGCATGAGTTAATTGTAAATTCTCAGTAATGGGTCAGTCACAGTCAGTAGTGACTGCTTTCCTTAAAATAAGTCTTCTCATAACCCACAAATTATTTTTGGCATAGAAGCAAGAGTGTGATTGGAAGGGAATTATCTTTTTTTTCCCCCTATGAGACTCTTTGAATTCTAGGAGTTGGAAGAATAAAGCTTCTCTGGACTTCAATAACAGGTCTGAAACTCAAATCATATTTGTTTTGGAATAAAAAAGCAGGAACAAACCCAGCATCAGGCAACGATCAAAACAACTTTTATTGCTTTCTTGGAATTGCTGTGCCCATCCCAAGTTCAAGTTGCATTCTATTCTGCCCAATTTCAAGTTAAAGCTGCATCATAAAACTTAGGTAATATGTAGCTGTGGCTGTGTACTTTGTGCATCATAAAACTTAGGTAATATGTAGCTGTGTACTTTGCGGGAATGATGAAAGAGGAAGGATTTGATCTAAAAGTAGGGTTTTTCACAAAAAGAAAAAGAAGAAAAGTCACCCCACTCCCAAACTTGGAAGTCTGTTGTGTCTGGAATATTTGCAGGCTTTTTTGTTTCTCTTCAGGGAATTCAAAGAATGCAGGCTTATTCAGTCAGGTCAGGTCTGGAGAAGCATCATGAAATATTTGTACTGTTCTGGTGCATCTTAATATTTGCAGGCTTTTTTGTTTCTCTTCAGGGAATTCAAAGAATGCAGGTTTATTCAGTCAGGCCAGGTCTGGAGAAGCTTCATTGAGATATTTGTACTGTTCTGGTGCATCTCCAACAAATTTCAGACTTCAAAAATGCCAAAAAGCTGATTTTTTTTTTTTTTCTTCCTAGGAATTAAATAGAGCATGAGTAATTATTTTCTACTTTTTCAAGATGCACTGATTGGCCCAGACATTGAGCACGTGTTTCCTTCAAGCCACCTGGAATTAATATTTTTCACGTTTCAGGACTAAAGCCCCAGTTACAGGACAGAGCCCAGAAAAGAGGATCTAGCGTATTTATGATGAGTCTCTTTGGCAGTCTAATTCTATTGATAGCATATTTTGAATGTGGAGCAGACCTGTGAATAACTCTGATATCTTTCCTGGTGTGCCAAAATCAGACTAACCCTCAGAAGTTTATAGTAGGGTTAAGTGGGGAGTATTGCAGCTCTTTCACAAACAAGAAAATAGTAAAATATCTGCCAAGAGGTTCAGTCCTTAGTCTCACATTCAGATCTCCATGGTTTGGGAACTGAACATTGCTGTAGTAAATGAGATGCTGGATCCCAGGGCACAGCAGCATCCAGGAGCTGTCTCTGCTGAGGTTACAGTGCAGGATCTGGGGCAGTGTTGTGGAACAAGATGATGCTTTACGGTGTAAAAACTGTATTAATTTATTAAACTCCTCATTTTCCTCCTAATCTTGTCCTCTGCAAAGCTCCTGAAGCACAGCCCCTATGAACTCCATCCCTGTCACTACGTGTGTCACTTCACTGGGAGGCTTGGTGGGACATGGGTGATGTGTTTCTTTCCTTAGGGAGTAAGTTTCACTGCAGGTGGGAAGAATGGAAACCAGAACTTAAACAATGGAGAGAAAACACTTAAAATTAACTTATAATACTTGGGGCTGTTGGTTGATGAGAAGCTGAATGTGACCCAGCACCGTGTGCTGGCAGCCCAGACACCCAGCTGTGCCCTGGGCTCCTGCCAAAACCACCAAAACTTCCAAAAATGGGCTGCAGGGGAGGGGGGATTCTGACGTGGACCTGCTGAAGTGAGAAAAGCCTTCCAGAGAAGGCTACAAAAATGATCAGAGGACTTGGAACACCTCTCCTGTGAATACAGATGCAGAGAGCTGGGATGGCTCTGGGAGACCTTCGAGGCCCTTCCAGTGCCTAAAGGGGCTCCAAGAGAGTTGGTGACAAGGGCATGAAGTGACAGGACTAGGGGGGATGGCTTCAAACTAAAAGAAGGCAGGTTTGGATCAGATATTAGGAAAAATTTCTTCCCTGTGAGGGTGGTGAGGCCCTGATGCAGGATGCCCAGAGAAGCTGTGGCTGCTCTTGGATCCCTGGAAGCATCCAAGGCCAGGTTGGATAGGGTTTGGAGCACCCTGAGATAGTGGAAGGTGTCCCTGCCCATGGCAGGGGGTTGGAATGAGATGATCTTCCAGGTCCTTTCCAACCCAAACCATTCTTTCTTTTATTCTACAGCAGCAGCAAAATATTCTGTCTGAATTAAATTATTTGTTAAATATCTTTCATTGGTACTTGATGGGAAGAACTACACAACTGTGATCCCAAAGACCATTGTTTGTTTTCTCTAACAGTGCTTCCTGCAGCTGCTAGGTCATTCCATTATATAGGCAAAGTTTGGGCATAAGTTTGGAAGAGGATAGAGAGGATAAGAGAAATTCTGATGCAAATTTGCATGAATTCAATAGCTGACTTAGCACAAAAATGTCATTTGGAAGATTTCTTAAGTTCTGAAAGCATTGGATGCTTTGCAGGTAAAGCAACAGTTGCTTAGTTTTGGCTTGGTTGCAGTTTGTAATAAAAAGTGCTTATCTGAGGGATCTTGTGTGGTAGATGTGTGAATGAAATAATGCTACTTTTTGGAAGGTAGAAATCAAATCCAAGAATTTGAATCTGAAAGCCCTGTAATTGCTTTTCCCGTTGGAGATTTCAAATTAAAACATTAGTGTGGTGGGTTTTTTTTGCTCTTTATTTTTTTCTCTTACATACTTTTGTTGTTAAGTTTCAGTCTGAATATTTGTATTTAAAAAATAGGGGTTTATTTCTTCTCTATGTATAAAGTCAGAGCATCTGTCGGTGGCAGAGGGTGAGCTGATTCCACCAGCTCTGAGGCAGGAGAACGTGGCCCGTCAATCTTTGAGGAACATTTAAAGGTCCAGCTCCTCAAACTTCAGAACTGAACCTTTCTTTCTACTGACATATGTATTTCAGGGACTTTATCAGCATATTTCTGTTTATATTTGCATGGCTTTCCAATGTATGTATTTATTTTATTTATTTTTTAAAAGATGGTGTAGGACATAAAAAGTGCTTATCTGAGGGATCTTGTGTGGTAGATGTATGAATGAAATAATGCTACTTTTTGGAAGGTAGAAATCAAATCTGAGAATTTGAATCTGAAAGCCCTGTAATTGCTTTTCCCGTTGGAGATTTCAAATTAAAATATTAGTGTGGTGGGTTTTTTTTGCTCTTTATTTTTTTCTCTTACATACTTTTGTTGTTAAGTTTCAGTCTGAATATTTGTATTAAAAAAATAGGGGTTTATTTCTTCTCTATGTATAAAGTCAGAGCATCTGTCGGTGGCAGAGGGTGAGCTGATTCCACCAGCTCTGAGGCAGGAGAACGTGGCCCGTCAATCTTTGAGGAACATTTAAAGGTCCAGCTCCTCAAACTTCAGAACTGAACCTTTCTTTCTACTGACATATGTATTTCAGGGACTTTATCAGCATATTTCTGTTTATATTTGCATGGCTTTCCAATAATTTATTTTATTTATTTTTTAAATGATGGTGTAGGACGGATGTACTTCCCAAGTTTTTTTTATGTTTTCAGGAAGTGACACTGGGATTGGACATGCACTGGCTAAACACCTGGACAGCTTGGGTTTTGTTGTGTTTGCTGGGGTTCTGAACAAGGATGGCCCTGGAGCTGAGGAGCTGCGGCGCTCCTGCTCCCAGAGGCTCTCTGTCCTGCAGCTGGATATCACCAACACCACGCAGGTCAAGGAGGCCTACCTGACAGTCTCAGAGAAGGTGCAAAATGCAGGTACAGCTTTTTTCTCCCCTCTTTAAAATGGAAGTCCTGATGGAGCAGCTTGGCAGGTGCATCTCTTCACTGTCGGCTGCACCATGGCTTGGGTGTGTAGGACATTTCCAGGGTGAAGTCTTGGGCAGTCAGGGCATTTCCATCCAGGACTTCTGTTTTCTGGGATATGGGAAGATGGCAGTGACAGGTCAAGGAGTGGGGAATGTGCATCTGCAGATCATCTCTGTTTTGGTCGGGAGTCGCCATCCAGCTCACTGGTGTAATCCTTGCGGAGTTCTTTTCCTGGTGTGTTGCAGCCTTGTCCTTTCTCCTCTTCCCAGGACTCTGGGGTGTCGTGAACAACGCAGGAATCCTGGGCTTCCCTGCTGATGGGGAGCTGCTCCCCATGAGCACCTACAGGCACTGCATGGAGGTGAATTTCTTTGGGGCTGTGGAGGTGTCCAAGACCTTCTTGCCATTGCTCCGGAAATCGCAGGGGAGGCTGGTGAACATGTCCAGCATGGCAGGTGAGCTGGGCTAAAGCACCAAATAAAGACCTGGAGCAAATGCCCAGGAAGGGGTCTCTCAGTCTGGGTTGTCAGTACACCCAGGGAATGAATGTTAAGGTAATAAATCCAGAATTTTCTTTAGTTAGGCACACTACTCCCAGAAAACAGCCTTTAAAGAAGAGTTTAATGTGGCTAAAATATGCTGTGACAAAAACCCCAGTAAAATTCAGATCTTGTGTTCTAGATGCCATGAGAGATAACTTTGTGAGCTTCCATAAAGATGGGTAGTACATCACAGGTATTTCTATAACATGTTCAGGCAGAAGTCTGTGACCACCTCAGTTTGTGATATCTGCTGATAACTTGGAAGCTCTGTGTCTATATTTCTCTGCTACTAAGTTAGGCCTAAGTATTTCTAAGACATCCAAAATATTTTTAAAGTGGTATTTTGCCATGAAAAAAATTTTGAAAAGGTTTTGAATTTTAACATATGCTTTTGATTTCTTTCCCCATAAATTTATTTATATATATATCTATATATATGCATGTCTTTATAACATGACAACATGACCTTCTATTCTAGGAGGACAGCTGAGATGCTAAGATGTAGGAACTAATGTGATACAGTAATGCAGTATCTGGTAGCCAACAGCTGAGGAGCAGGAATGCTCCTTTGAAAATGAGACCTGCTAGAAGCAGGAGGTCGTGCTGCTGGAAAGTATTTTGGAGTAAGAGCTCTTAGGGATTTTCTGGGTCATGTGCTCCCCACATTTTCCTTTGCCCTCCTGCATAGCCGGAGTCCCCCTGAACCCTGCTGCATTGCTGGGGTGACATGTAGGTGTTACCAATGTCCCCCTTATGCTGAGGATGTGGCTGCTGTCTGGCTCTGGAACTGTTTTCTCTTAATAATCCCAGATATGCTCTGTGTTTGCATGTCTGTGTTCATGGTTTATTGCTGCCACGCTGAGAAATCAGGGCTGAATTATCAGAAGAACCTTCCTGCTGCTGCTCTGAGGCCAGAGCCCTGTTTCCTCTGTGCACCCTAGTGAAGCTCTCACTGTGGGTGTTTTGGGGCAGATGTCTTAACTCCTTGTGAGAATCGCTGAACTGCCTTGAAGGAATAAATGCATTTACCCCTGTACTGTGTAGTTTGGCCTTACAGGAGCTGCTAATGACCCTGCTTAAACTCCAGCTGACTGCAGAGATGTTTTTGCACGCAGGCTGGTTTGGGTGAAAGGGTTTCCTCTTAACTCAGGGTCTGGGGGTCCTTTGGTAAAACATTAGTGGAGAAGTTAGTGAGGTCTCATTGTACTGAATCTATTCTTGTCTGTGTAGGGCTCATTTAACTGGGCTCAGGTTAGCCTGACCTCAGAGGGAAAAGTCTGTGATTCAATTGGCTCAAACCAACCCAGCTTATTCAGATGCATACAGAAGAATAATTAACATATAATTGGCCTGATTTCTTCAAGGGAATGGCTCTGTGTAAACAGCTCCTGTCATACCTTGGTCATCCCAGTACAATACCCAATAGCACCAGTGGCTTACCTGAAAATCCCCCCTGTATCTGAGGGATTTTCCTTTAAAATACTCAAGCACATTGAGATGGGTGTGTAGCATGTGAAACTCGGGATGTGCCCAACTGCCCCTGTAGGAGGAGGAGAGATGTGCCTCAAGGAAAGGATTGTCCATTCTGTTCCCTGCTCCCAGCACAGCCTGTGGTGGCTGTGATAGTCTTAAACCTGTGTGGTGATAACACCAACCTTGTGGGGGAGGTGGGAGGGCTGAAGAAGATGCTCAAATCAAACCATGTTTGGATTTTTCTAGCACTGAAGAAGTGGCAATCTGCCACTTTTTGGGACAGAGGAAATATATGATACTGTTTTCTGGAAGCTCGTTTTGTAAACCTACTGGGTGTTCTCTTAACTTTTCTATCTGAATAAGTGTTTCTGGGATTGAAAAAGATGGGATATAACTATAAGCAGGGGATCTGCTTCTATGCTGGGAACTCTCAGGGAGTCCAGTCACTCATGGGCTGTGATTCCAGCTTTGGTTTTCCCCACTCTTGCATTATTATTTCTCTGGCCTTTCTGGAAAGAACAGGAAAGAAAGTTGCCTTTATAAAGCTAGAATTGAGATTACTTACCCTGTTCTAACTTTGGTTTTTGTAGGGGCTTGAAATTCGTGTTACAGTTACAAGAACAGGAGTATAAAACTACTACTTCACTATTTATATGAACTAAATCATTGTGTTTCTCAAATCAACAGTCATAACTTTCAGCAGTTTTTACCCTTAAATGCAGTCCAGTTTATTTTTCCTGTCCTACAAGATGTCTTACCAGGTGTTACTGAGTGTAACTGCTGTAAGCAACTGTTCATTTACAACTTTCACTCTCTTTTAACCTCTAACAAGAAGTGATTCCCTCACTAACTTGCCTTTAACCTCAGGGAGAGAGGCATAATTTTGGTTGTGCTATAATCTCCCTTGTAAATCATGAAAATAAAGGCTGGCAAGAGCCACTGTCGAGGTTTATCAGGTTTCTATTGCTCCTGCAGGAGGCATTCCACTACCGAGGTATGCTGCGTACGGGGCATCCAAAGCAGCTCTGTCCATGTTTTCTGGAGTAATGAGGCAAGAGCTTTCCAAATGGGGCATTAAAGTCACGGCAATTCATCCATCAGGCTTCAGAACAGGTTGGTGCTTGACATTTTGGGTTCTTTCTGCCTCTCCTCTTTCCCTGTTGTTCAGCAGCCTCAAGCAGAGCCCTGGGTGATTCTCAGGGGTCAGATGTTTTTTCCCATTCTTTATGTGGGTTATGGAAATTAAGCTCAATGTTTGTGAGAATCTTCTCTCCAGCTCTGCACACTGCCTGCCTCTCCTCTCCTGGGCAGAGCTGTCTTTGCTTTGAGACAGGGCAGATTCAGGCAGTTGGTGCCTTCCCTTTGCCCCAGCTTGGTTGGAGCTGACAGAGCAGCACTGTGTGCCCAACTTGAGTGTTAGGGCTCACTTGTCCTGCTTGGGAGCTTCAGGTCCCCCTCACTCCTCCCTTCCTCAGTATCAGAGCTCTCTTTATTGGGCTGCTCTGTCTTGCATGGCAATATCTGCAGCTGTACCTCTCACCCTGCTTGCTTGCTTTCAGTATCCTCTGATCTTTCCTCTCCACTCCTTCCCTGTGTGCTCCTGCTGCTTTCTGTTCCAAATTCTCCTCCTTCTTCAACGGAGCACTTTTTGCAGAGCCTGTCCAGGTTCCAGACTCATCTCCTGCTACACATGCCCTCACTGCACCCCCATGTCTGCCCAGAGGTTTTTTTTTTATGTCAATGTAAATCAAACTGGTCTTTTTCATAAAATGCTACTTCCCTGAATGCTTCCCACCTGGAAGGGGGCCCTGGGAGGCTCTGGGCTCTGACAGCTTTGTATGGCCAGTGGAACCTGCCTGAAGCTTCACCTTCAGGGCCCTGCTTGGGTGTTCTCACGTTTAAGGGTAAAATTGAGTCTTGATATTTGAGATTTAATTATATTTTTAAAGATTTTTCTTTATTTGCAATGCTTAATTTTTGGTAGTTAGGCAACAATTCCATTGGAGAAGCCCCTGCTTTCATTCCTACATTATGCAAATGTAGGGGGACAAATAGATTAAATTACAGTTCTAAATCTGTCCTAATAGAATGCTAATCCTTCAGGAAACTAGTTATTGAAATACTGATGTCTCCTGTGAAAGGGCAGCTTAGCACTTGGCCAATCCAAGTGAATCCTGTTCATCTTAGTTTGCCTGTCCTCAGTTTTTAATAAATACTGATTAGAAACCCCCACAAAATGAATCGGGACAGAATGGCAAAGTGGGGAGGAGGGGGAAAGAAAAAATGCTGATTTGGCTGTGAGAGAGCATTTTTAGGTAGAGCAGGAAGCCAAATGGGGCATGAACTTTGTGCTTTTTGTGTAGCACAAAGCACTCGTGCTTTTCCTCCTCTTCCAGCCAAAAGCACTGGCTGCTGATCAGCTGTGGTATTTGTTCTTCACTGCCCCAGTTTAGATCAACTCTGCCTATTAATTACAGATTTATTCATTTAAATCCAGCCCCAAACCCACCTGCTGTCCTGTGATGTTGCTGCTGCAGGTATCGAAGGCACAGCGGAGCAGTGGGACAGACAGGAGAAGGAGCTGATGGAGAACCTCCCTGCGGACACCAGGCAGGCCTACGGAGAGGAATATCTCCTGGGGCTGAGGAATTACCTCCTCCACCTGCCCTCCCACTGTGCCCCCGACCTGTCCCCAGTGCTGGGCTCTGTCCTGCACGCCCTGCTGGCCAGGAGACCCCAGGGCCTCTACACCCCTGGCAAGGGGGCCTACATCCCCCTCTGCATCTTCTGCTGCTTCCCCCTCTGGTTCTACGACTTCTTCATCAGCAAGGTGCTGAGTGCTGGCTCTGTTCCAAGGCAGCTGAGAACATCAGGAGATGAAGGCAAGAACCTCTGAGGTGTCCACTGGTGTTTGTCTCACTGGGTGAGGCAGCTGGGAAGAGCTCTGCACAGACACTGCTGCTTATTGTGCTGTCTTTGTGAAGTCACATTAACATTAAATCTTTGTGTTAAGAGTCGTGTTTGGGAAAAGCACTAGATAAACACAAATAGAAAGCTATTACCATTTTGAGGACATTTTTTGAGGAATTTCAGTGTTTTTCTGTTGTCTTTGTATCCTGCTTTCCATAGAAGGTACCTCATGAAATTATATAGTTCCTGTCTGCTTCTAAGGGCATCACCAACATGCAGAAAGATGCAGAACATGTTTTGTTAAAGCAAAACAAAAACTCCTAGAGAGTCACCAACCTTAAATCTTGTAAAAGGTTAAATATATTCCTGTTGTTGAAAAGACTTAAAACTGGGTAATCCAAGTCTTGTTTTCTACATGTCAACAAAAATGTGTAATAAAACAATATAATATTTAGTAACCAGATGGTTGTGACTCTTTGTCTTGTCTCACCCTTTGTGCTTTTTGGGGCTCAGTGCTACCTCCCCTGCCTTGTTCCCAGAGCAGGAGAGCACTGAGGGGGAAGGGGTGAGGAGCTTTTCCAGGGAAGAGGGACAAATGCCCTGTTTTGGGCAGGGTGTGATCCCAGCTGGCTCAAAGGCAGCTTGTGAGCAGGAAGGAAAGGTGAGTGTGGAGCTGGGGCTGTGCTGGGTGGCAGCCTGGGAGTTTTGGCTGCCTCGGGCTGAGGGAGCTCACTGCCAGGGATCCTATCTCCATCTCCATCGTGGATGCAGGTGGCTGTTTTTCCCTTCACACCCAATTTGGGTGTAAATTTTGTGGGCTGGAATTTTGCCCTTAGGCACACTATACAACCGAAATTTGTCTTAGCAGTCAGTCAGCTGCTTTGCCTAGTAATCTCCATAACAATCTTTAATTGTTGCTTTGTTATTTGGCTGTGGTTATAAAATGTAATTTTTTTTCTCCCATTGACTTTCCTAATAGGAATATTATCTTGCACATTGCAGACATATTAAATTAGGCATTTACTTGGAAGTTTTGACTTCATTTTAATTTTTTAAACTTTTATTTCCCAGGAAATTTCTGTTCTAAATAGTCATTTTATGTTTCTTCACCTAACTGCAGAGATATTTTAGCAGGTCTCTAATAATTGCGATATCAAAGATTGCTATTGTTTTGTTCCTACAGGGACTCTTACTTTGTGTTTTAAAGATAATTCTGTTGTAACACATTATTGAATTATGTGTCACTTAATGGGCTGCAGTATTAGAAGTAAATTTCTTTTGCTAATGGCTTGCATTGCAAATAATCCCCACTGTGAGAGTGGCAGAACTGCAGAATAAATTTTGTTTGTGGCCAGCAAGCCCACGTGGATGTTAGTGCTGACACTGGCTCATGCTCTTGAGGACAAATGTCTGGGTGTTGTGGTCCTTTTCCTGCCATAAAGGCTGATCTGATACAAAGATATTTGGGGAGTGGGAAGAGAGAATGTTGAGTTCTAGCAGTGGAAACTGTTATGTTAAAAACCCCAAAATTATTCTTGTGATTTGGGCCTATTCAAAGATAAGATATTTTAAAGAAAAAGAGGCCTATTTTGGGCTTTTTCAAAGATAAGATAATTTTTTTTTTAAATGTGCATGGTGTAGGAAAAGCATCTGAGAAACTGAAGAAATTGGCTGTGGCCCTAAAAAAGGATGATGAATAATAGTAATGCCCCACAGTAATCAAGTGTGTATATATTACAGACACATATGTACGGAGTAAAAAGGGGTTATAAACTATGGAATTCATGATTAAAGAGCAGGTTTTATACACATCCCTCTTGTCCAGCCTCTGGAATGAAGTTTGTGACCAAGAAGTAAACGCTGTTGGATGCTTTTTACAAAGGAATTCCCTGGCTGGTGTCCTGGGGGTCCCACTCTCCTGCCCTGCATTCTTTACTTCCTTGAGGAGCTGACTGGGAGTTATTCAGCTCTGGGGACACAGAAGGTGAGTCACAAAGCAATTTGTTTTTATAACTTCTTTTATTCTGGCTCCATTTCCCCTCTTTGTGGGGCCCCTGCTGACAGCCCTGCCTGATGTATGCCTGCATCGTGGCAGGTTGGGGAAGATGGGTAAAATATTGTGCATTTTTGTGGTTGTGCCACTGGCTGGCTGTGGCAGGGAAGTTTTGGTGGCCACTTGCCAAAGGAGCAGCACTCCATTAACATGGAGTGTTAATGTGTGGGGCTGCCCACGTGGCTGGAGGTGAGGAAAAGGGCTGAGAAAGTTTAAAGTGTGCTCAAATGAGAGCTCTGACAGGGGGGTTTGGGTTGGATAGAAGAGATGGTGTAGGAGGATGGGGAGCTCCAGGTCATGGAGTGTTATGGACTCATACAGGGACAAGGATTAATCCTAAAACTGCTTTCAAGCTCTGTAGGAGGTTGGTCAGAACAATTTTTCACTAGGAGGGGCCAAAAACAGCAATGGGGAGAAAGGTAATAGTTGCTTTGTCTAATTTAATGAGCATGAACAGAAATGTAATTATTTCTAAATGAAAGTATTCAGATTTTGCCAGTTTGAGTCTCTGGTATCTTCAGACAAGAGAGAATAATTTCCTTGTTCCTCTGGCATGTGTGAGGGGTTTTTTTGTTGTTTATAGTTTAATATGAAACGTTTTTAGAATTTTTGTATGTATTGTTTGTTTCAAGAGGATGCTTCCAGGGAGCTTTCAGGTCTCAGTGATGTTTTGCTGTAAATTTACTCACCTGGGCACAGCATTGCAGAGGTACAACCACAATGGGTCACATTTCATTTGCTTGAAGCCAAGAGTCCACGTGTAGCCACCAGCACCCATCTGGGCACCAATCATACTTGCAGCATGTTTGGGACAAATGTGTGAATTTGGATACTTTTTCTAGAGAAACTGATTCCAGGATCTTTTCTGGGGCACAGTGTTGTCTGTTTTACCCTGTTTATGTCTGTGTTTTGAAAGTCAGCTGGATTCCTAAAATGATGCAACCCCTGAGGGCATTGTGCATCAGAGTCATCACATTTCTAGGAATGCTCAGAGAAATTTATTTGAAATACAATTCATTCAGGCTTCAAAGGAAAAGGGTTCGAACAAAAAATCTTGGCACTTGTGAGGAAATTGGGTGTGGATTTTTTTTTCTCCCAAAAGTCTGAGCATACATAAATGGAAAGTGTTGTCACTGGTGTTTCCTGCACAAATGCATCCTGGGGTGCAGTTGCTCCTGACAGAATCTGTCAGGTGCTGCAGGGCTCCCTGGGATGCAGACACCTTCGTGGCAGGATTTCAATAGCCAATGCTTTTGTCAGTCAGGCTGAACATCAGAGCTGTTGCTGCTCAATTATAGATGAATTCTGGCGACCTTGAGGCTGTGGGCTTTTACCATAGCAAGAGAGGTAATTGCTTTTAGTTTGAAAGCATGACCAAACCATAAATCAAGACTCACTGACATCTCATGAAAGGAGATGAGTTTTAAATCCCTTTAATAGGATAAATGGGTTTTAAGCATGTTGTATAGGTCATTGTAACCTAAGCTAATGAATCTGACTTTAACAACCTGTATGAAAGTAATTGCAGAGATATAAACAGTCTCCACAGGTTTCATGCCTGGAATATGTAGGTTAAACACTCCAAGTTTATATCCCTGTTCATGTTGTTGCCTGTGGCTCTGGAAAGAGCACTGAACAAGCTGGAAACTAATCCTGGAAGCTAAGAATTTGGATCTCAGCATCTGCCATGAGTGAGAAAAGGGGGAGCAGCTCAGGGGTCAAAGAATGGCTCTCAGATCTTGGTGGAGGCAGCGTGGCCTTCACTACCAGTCTGCTAAATCAGGAGAGGTCTGGAGGTGCAGGGTGTGTGCTCTTTCCAAGAGCCTTTCAGAAATGACCTGTTATGGGGCTGTTTTTCTCCTATGAGTTGTACATTCTGGCCGCATTTCCCTGATTTGGGACTTTTCCCTTGTGGTATCAAAGGACACATTTCAAAATAAGAGGAAGAACATGGAGCAAAGATCAAGGGGTGTGAGCATGAAAGATATAACAAAAACAAAATTATAATGACTAGTATAAAGGGAGGGAAGGAAGGAATCAAGAAGGATGATTCTCAGGAAATGGGTTTGGGCAGACTCAGCTCCAGTGACATGTCACACTCAGGGTCAGGTTGACCTACTCACTGTCTTCCACCACCTCCTTCAACACCTGACCCTTAAAGTGTCATTTCAGAGGCTGTGACCTGTGATAAATTTATTTACTATGAAGTCTTACATTTCTTGGTCTTGTAGCATCCCAGCCCATGAAGAAAGAGGACTGGGGGTGTTGTGGTGAGGACAGGGGTGGATGCTCCTGCTTTGGGTGGTAATGGGAGACACAAGTCTGATATTTCCACACCCCTGTGAAAGGGGAGATGTTGGTGAAGCATTGCTCTCCCACACCCAGCCCACACAAGCCTGGCACTGCTGACTTCTTTGCTCTCTTTCTTTGGGGGAGAGAATATCACGGTGTACTTGGTTTCATAATGGAAAAAGAGACATTTTTGGCCTTTAGCCACAGTAATTAACATGTCAGCACTCTGTGAGAGAAGGCACTGCTGTCTGTCTGTCTGTGCTTCCTGTGGGCTTGCACTGTCAGCAGCCAGTGCTGACACCCATCACTGGTGTGGAAATCTCTGGTGCTTGCATGACAGAGCCAACAAAGCCCTCAGGATGAGGTTGATGTGTCAGAGGATGGCCCGAGGGTGATTTATTCCCCTGCTGTGTGGGCAAGTCCTGTTTTTTAGACAGAGGGTTAGGAATCAGTGTTATGGCTTCTGTGTATCTCAGAAAACACCTTTTTGCCTTTAGTTTCTCAGAAAAACTCAATTCATAGCATCAGAGAAGGGTTTGGGTCAGAAAGGACCTTTAAAGCTCATCTCATTCCAGCCCTGCCATGAGCAGGGACAGCTTCCACTAAACCAGGTCACTCAGAGCCCATCCAGGAATGGGCATCCACAACTTCTCTGGACAACCTGCTCCATTCACTGCCTGAAGAGCAAAATCCTAAAGGACTAATTTAATTAAAAGGATGAAGTGGGGAAAGCAGAGCAAACAGTCTTAATTAACAGGCAGCAATGTACTCATGTTGTGTGCTTGGCATAGATGAATTAAGGGAGTGATAGGCTTAAAATAATTATCACTTTAAAAAATGTTTTATCATGTAGAAATGTGTTAGAAGTTCATGTTGGGAGCTGGCTGTTTCATGGTGTGATTTGAATTGAATCATGCAATAGTTTAGTGTGGTTTATATCCCTTTTTCCCAAATGTTGCCACTATGGCTGCAAATGAGTTGCCTTAGAGCAGGAAGCACTGCTCTCAAAGGTTAAGAAACCCCAACCAACCGACCAAAACCCCACAAAAACATCCCCAAAACAGGGTTCATT